TGTAATCGCGGGACTTTGTTCATGCAAAACCCGAAAACTGCAAGTAGAGCGAAAGCATGATTCATATAGTAGTTAGGTGGTTGAGTGGAGTGGGCGGTAGGTACATTTAGTGCACCTTCAAACTCCACAGACCCAGAACAAGGGGGGGAAACACCATACTGTAAAAGTCAGAACTGAGTTCACATGAATTTATTTCTGTTGCAAAAGCGCAGTTCAAGAAATTGCACCCTGCTGAGTGAGTTTCCACTAGCACATTTTGTGCAAGGTGTATGGAAGAAAGAAAAATATCGGAAAAGTAAACCCTGCAAATGAAGTGCAAAAGCGAAATTTATCACTTTATTTATTTATTTATTATTCATCTAGGTTGGTGCAAAAAAAGTCAAAGACAGTATTGTGTGGGAGGAATAGTTACTGTACCACCACTATGTGGAAAAACGCTAATTATAACTCATGCAATAATCATAAACTGATTTTTTTCTCTTGAAAACAGAACAACTTTAAGAGAAAAAAAAAGTGAAAGCCAATATTCACTGACGAATGCCAGCAAGCCTCTGTAAGGTTATATGCTCAGTGATCAATGAACTACAATACTTTCTTCCAGTGCACCATTACTTTTTCATTAGAGGTATCATATCATAAGTGATATCATAGTGATTCCATCAATAATTCATATAAGGGATACAAATATAGGAAATTCTTCTAAAGGCATTACATTGTGAAGACTGATTATGCAACTGTGGTCTCTTTGTACTCAAAGCTGAAGTTATATAATGATCTCAAAATATTGTTTAAATCATATGGAAACGATCACTTTCAGTTCAAGCATATTCAGATTTAATTCTTTTAAAAGAAAACTGGATATTGCTGTAATTTGTCTGATAAATTGAAGTTATTCTCTTGGTTTTCTCTTTAAACCCCAATCTTGTATTGTTAGACATATCATCAAAGTAAAAATCGAAAGTTTAAGAAAGAGTTTGGTGAACATTTATAATTCTTTAAAGAAATATCCTGTATGCTGCATTATTAGAAGAACATGGAGGGCATAATTTCACTTTGCATACTGGATGATAAAACTAAGATTTGATATTTCAAAATAGAACACAGCATTTGTTAGAGGCATGGGAGCAGAAGCTTTAACACTACTTTATACAACACGAGTATTGTGGTGAGAGCAGTGGCCATCCTAGAAGTGGTGGGTACAATTGCAACAGTGGCAATAGTAGGAAATACAGACCAGGCATATACTGAGGTAGTACTGTATTAGAAGCAATTGCAGTGGCAGTTTCAGTTTCTCTGTTGACTTGCTGGTACATAATGTTATCTGACCCTAATGCCGCAATCAACTTGATCTTTTAAAGCATGAGGTCAACTCATCTGACCAACCACAGTGCACTGACCATGAAAGGCTTCTGACCTGATTTGCATTGCTGGCACTAGCTGAGATTTTGGATGAGCTACAGCAAAAGCGAACATATTCTATTCCTCCCTGCTGTGAATGTGCTAAACATGCTTTGTAAAGCTTCTGATATCTCAGAAAAGCAGTCACAAGTGTACGCACATAAATACTTGTGATGCAGACAAGGGCCATCACTATTTAAGCCACCTCTGCAATTTGGTTGCTTTAAGTAGTACTGGACGCACCACACATTTAGTAGATCACTGTTTTTTTAAGCATGCCACCACTTATAAGAATATTTAACATTTACAAAAATTAGCACTTCTGAAAAGAGAAGGATCTGAAGCTACATGATGTTGTTTGTGTGGGAGAAGATTGGCTTGACCCAAATCAGAGACTGACATGCACTTTTGAATATATTTGTAACTTGTCTGCCTGTTTGCTCACCTAATTTCCTTCCATCATAGCATTTTTTTCCTAGACAGACAAGTTGCTGCCTGGATAATTACCTGACTGGATAGCTGATTGATAGAACGATGCGCTTGCTAGTTCGACGTTTTGCCTAAATAGCATAATGACTGACTTATAGACAGATATTAAAATGCTGACTGGATCATTGCCTGCCTGGAGACTACATCTAGAAGTGCACTCTGTCAGTCCTCCAACCAAACATTCACAATCAGTGGTGCAGCGAGTAGAGAAACAGATGGTTAGGCTGGCTAAATTGGGAGCCGTCTAAATCCATATTGTTATATGAACAGCCAGCAGAGATAAAATTCAGCTATGGCAACTCCTTACATCAGTTTTATTGATTGTCCTGGCATGGTGATCGTGATCTTACATGTTAGTCGCAATTCTGTCTTCCCAATTTATAATTTCTTTGTAACCGGTCACTACATTCTAAAGCCTATGTCAAGAGAACAATTGCAATTAATGAGAGGTCATTATATCTAACAGAGCATATTTCCATAAAATATAATCACTAAACCATTCATTAGTCTTAAGTTCTGAACTGAGATGAAAAAGGCACAGTGATTCTGATGGATTGCAATTAGGTATGCTTCGTTCCATGAGAACAATACACCTCGTATGCCAGGATGAATAGCAATTCAATTATGTCAATTTAGGAAGTACAATTACTTCGGGAAGATAACGGGACATACTTGAAAATCCAATGTGTTTTGATGAAGGAGGAAAAAGCCTTCAGAAGGAGTTTGTTAATTAGTTCATTATTCAACAAAACAGGATTTAATTAAACATGTCATGATATGCACTCTGTACTTGAACACATATAGCAGCCTCTCAAGGAGCAAGATGCAGAGCTAGGAGATTATTGCAAGAAACTTTTCACAACTTGCTGACCTTTTTGAGGGAGGAGGAACTTTCAGATGGTAGAACTGGAGTGTGTATGTGTGTGTTAAGCTGTATGTTCAATAAAATTCTTTTTAAAGAGACTGAAATTGGTGTGAGGAAGCACGCTACACTGTAGATAAACAGAAAGAAAAACAGATGAGAGAAGATTTGAAGATATCCGCTCTTGTGCATCTGTCCTTCAGCACCATGGACAGCTCTGACAGGCGACTTGGTTCTATTTTGCCAAAGAAAAACACAATAAGAATTCAAAGTCACTGCTGACAAACTTGCACACCATACTCCACAGCCCCTCTTACGGTGCCTGTGATTAGTCAAAAAAAAAGTGCATTGTCTAAACTTGTTTCTGGCCGCATCACAGTGCTTCTATAAATAAATGATTTTTCCCACGTGAGATGGACCCACTGTACTTCATGTGCCTCACAATGCAGTATCTATGGTAACCACTTACAGTAGAAGAAACTCAGCATGTGTGGTGTAATGTGGATGCGTGTTTGGAGATGGCATGAACTAAATGTGCTCAAGAACAGTGAACAATTTTAGGTCAGTGCTTCTAAAAGTAATTTTTGGATGACTTTAGGGTTAACGTCAGGATCAAGTTTTATTAAGTGACTGATATGTTTCAGTACGTGGTGGTATAAAGGAGTTGGAATTTGTATTTCAAAGTGCTATTTAGAGTTTAGTATTAGGTTGTTGTAGGGGGACTAGTGGTAGAGGTTATAAAATCATTTTGTCTATCTGAATTTTGTTTTTCCGCTCGTCTGTAGGTTAATGGCTAGAAATATACAGTTAGTGCTTGCGAGTGTTCCTCCATCAATAATGCCGTTGCATAACACCTACATTAAATTCAGTCTTTGAAATCTTTGGGACTCGGCCTGGTTATATCTTTTTTTTCCCGTCAGCCCCCGTAGTCACACATCCATAACAGCGCACACAAAGC